GGAAGGAAGTAGTAGTGGAGGGATGGAAGTAGTAGTGGAGGGAAGGAAGTAGTAGTGGAGAGAAGGAAGTAGTAGTGAGGGAAGGAAGTAGTAGTGGAGGGAAGGAAGTGAAGTGGGAGGAAGGAAGTGGGTAGAGAGGGAAGGAAGTAGTAGGGCGGAGGGAAGGAAGTAGTAGTGGAGGGAAGGAAGTAGTAGTGGAGGGAAGGAAGTAGTAGTGGAGGGAAGGAAGTAGTAGTGGAGGAAGGAAGTAGTGAGGGAAGAAGCATATGGAGGGAAGGAAGTAGTAGTAGGGAAGGAAGTAGTAGTGGAGCGAAGGTAGTAGTAGTGGAGGGAAGAAAGTAGTAGTGGAGGGAAGGAAGTAGTAGTGGAGGGAAGGAAGTAGTAGTGGAGGGAAGGTAGTAGTAGTGGAGGGAAGGTAGTAGTATTAGTGGAGGTAAGAGTGGTAGTGGAGGAAGAAGTAGTAGTGGAGGGAAGGTAGTAGTATGGGGGGAAGGAAAGTAGTAGTGGAGTGAAGGAAGTATTAGTGGAGGGAAGGAATAAGTATGAGGGGAAAGAAGTAGTAGTGGAGGGAAGGAAGTAGTAGTGGAGGGAAGGAAGTATAGTGAGGGAAGGAAGATAAAAGTAGTGAGGGAAGAATTAGTATGGAGGGAAGGAAGAAGTATGGAGGGAAGGAAGTAGTAGTGGAGGGAAGGTAGTAGTAGTTTAGGGAAGAAGGTAGTAGTGGAGGAAGCGTATAGTAGTAAGTGAGGGAAGGAAGTAGTAGTGGAGGGAAGAATAGTATGGAGGAAGGAAGTAGTATGGAGGGAAGGAAGTAGTAGTGGAGGGAAGGAAGTAGTAGTGGAGGGAAGGAAGTAGTAGTGGAGGGAAGGAAGTAGTAGTGGAGGGAAGGAAGTAGTATGGAGGACAAGGAAAGTAGTAGTGGCAGGGCAGGAAGCTAGTAGTGGAGGTAAGGAAGTATGTAGTGGGGGAAGTAGTAGTAGTTTAGGGAAGAAGTATTAAGTGGAGGAAGTATAGTAGTGAGGGAAGGAAGTAGTAGTGGAGGGAAGTAAGAAGTCTTGGAGGGAATGAAGTAGTATGGAGGGAAGGTAGTAGTAGTGGAGGGAAGGAAGTAGTAGTGGAGGGAAGGAAGTAGTAGTGGAGGGAAGGTAGTAGTAGTGGAGGGAAGGAAGTAGTAGTGGAGGGAAGGAAGTAGTAGTGGAGGGAAGGAAAGTAGTAGAGGAGGAAGAAGTAGTAGTGGAGGGAAGGAAATAGGAGTGGATGGAAGGTGAGAGTAGTGGAGGGAAGGAAGTAGTGGAGGAAGGTAGTAGTAGAGGCGGGAAGGTAGTAGTGTGGAGGTAAGGACGTAGTAGTGGAGGGGAAGGAAGTAGAAGAGGAGGGAACGTAAGTCGTAGATGGCGGAAAGAATAGTATTGGGAGGGAAGAAGTAGTAAGTGGGGGGAAGTAGTAGTTAGGTAGGGAAGGTAGTAGTAGTGAGGAAGAAGTAGTAGTGGGAGGGAGGAAGTAGTAGATGGAGGTAAGGAAGTAGTAATGGAGTGACGGAAGTAATAGAGGATGGAAGGAAAAGAAGGAGGGAAGGTAGTATAGAGGAGGAAGGAAGTAGTAGTGGAGGGAAGGTAGTAGAAGAGGAGGGAATGCATTAGTCGAGGAGGAAGGCAGTAGTAAGCTGGGGGGGGGAAAATGGCACGGCAGATAGTAGAGTCGGCAGACGTAGTAGTGATGGAAGGTAGTAGTAGTGGAGGGACGTAGTAGTAGTGATGGCATGTATGAGAAGTGGAGGGAAGTTCGTAGTAGTGGAGGGAAGGTAGTAGAAGTGGAGGGAAGGTAGTAGTATGGCGGGAAGGAAGCGTAGTGGAGAAGTTAGTAGTAGTGGATGAAGGTAGTAGTATTGGAGGGAAAGGGTAGTGTAGAGTCGAGAAGGTAGTATTAGTGGCGGCAGTTAAGTCGTACAGGATGAAGGTCGTATAGTGGAGGGAAGGAAAGTAGTATTGGAAGGGAAGGTATTAGTAAGTGATGGTAAGGTATAGTATTGGAGGAAGGTAGTAGTATTGGAGGGAAGGTCGTATAATGGAGGGAAGGTATAAAGTGGAGGGAAGGTAGTATAAGTGGAAGGGAAGGAGAAGTTAGTAGAGGACAAGTATTGAGGGAAGGTAGAAGTAGGGAGGTAAGGTAAGTAGTAATGGAGGGACGGTAGTAGTATAGGAAGGGATGGCCGTAGTGGGGTTGTACTTCCCTTCGCTGTCTTTTTAATGCCACAAAGGACCAGCACACCAACTTAAATCTCCAATCTGTGATGTTGAGGGCGGGGCAGCCTTGGTCCACTTGATGTGAGGAGGGCAGCCCTGGGCCACTTGATGGGATGAGGGCAGCCCTGGTCCACTTGATGGTGAGGAGGGCAGCTCTGGTCCACGTGATTGGTGAGGAGGGCAGCGCCTGGTCCACTTGATGGAGAGAGGGCAGCCTGGTGCCTTGAAATGGTGATGAGGCACCCTGGTCCACTTGATTGGTGAGGAGGCAGCCCGGTTCCACAAGATGGTGGGGGGCAGCCCTGGCCACTTGATGTTGAGGAGGGCAGACCCTGACCACTTGATTGGAGAGGAGGGCAGCCATGGTCCACTTGATGGTGAGGAGGCAGCCCTGTCCACTTGATGGTGAGGAGGGCAGCCCTGGTCCACTTGATGGTGAGGAGGGCAGCCCTGGTCCACTTGATGGTGAGAAGGGCAGCCCTGGTCCACTTGATGGTGAGGAGAGCAGCTCTGGTCCACTTGATGGTGAGGAGGGCAGCCCTGGTCCACTTGATGGTGAGGAGGGCAGCCCTGGTCCACTTGGTGGTGAGGAGGGCAGCCCTGGTCCACTTGATGGTGAGAAGGGCAGCCCTGGTCCACTTGATCGTGAGAAGGGCAGCCCTGGTCCACTTGATGGTGAGGAGGGCAGCCTTGGTCCACTTGATGGTGAGGAGGGCAGCCTTGGTCCACTTGGTGGTGAGGAGGGCAGCCCTGGTCCACTTGATGGTGAGAAGGGCAGCCTGGTCCACTTGATGGTGAGAAGGGCAGCCCTGGTCCACTTGATGGTGAGGAGGGCAGCCTTGGTCCACTTGGTGGTGAGGAGGGCAGCCTTGGTCCACTTGATGGTGAGAAGGGCAGCCCTGGTCCACTTGATGGTGAGAAGGGCAGCCCTGGTCCACTTGATGGTGAGAAGGGCAGCCCTGGTCCACTTGATGGTGAGAAGGGCAGCCCTGGTCCACTTAGTGGTGAGGAGGGCAGCCCTGGTCCACTTGACAGTGATGAGGGCAGCCCTGGTCCACTTGGTGGTGAGGAGGGCAGCCCTGGTCCACTTGGTGGTGAGGAGGGCAGCCCTGGTACACTTGGTGGTGAGGAGGGCAGCCCTGGTACACTTGGTGGTGAGGAGGGCAGCCTTGGTCCACTTGACGGTGAGGAGGGCAGCCCTGGTCCACTTGATGGTGAGGAGGGTAGCCCTGGTCCACTTGATGGTGAGGAGGGCAGCCCTGGTCCACTTGATGGTGAGGAGGGCAGCCCTGGTCCACTTGATGGTGAGGAGGGCAGCCATAGTCCACTTGATGGTGAGGAGGGCAGCCCTGGTCCACTTGATGGTGAGGAGGGCAGCCTTGGTCCACTTGATGGTGAGGAGGGCAGCCATAGTCCACTTGATGGTGAGGAGGGCAGCCCTGGTCCACTTGATGGAGAGGAGGGCAGCCCTGGTCCACTTGATGGTGAGGAGGGCAGCCCTAGTCCACTTGATGGTGAGGAGGGCAGCCCTGGTCCACTTGATGGTGAGGAGGGCAGCCCTGGTCCACTTGATGGAGAGGAGGGCAGCCCTGGTCCACTTGATGGAGAGGAGGGCAGCCCTGGCCCACTTGAAGTTGAGAAGGGCAGCCCTGGTCCACTTGATGGTGAGGAGGGCAGCCCTGGTCCACTTGATGGTGAGGAGGGCAGCCCTGGTCCACTTGATGGAGAGGAGGGCAGCCCTGGTCCACTTAATGGAGTGGAGGGCAGCCCTGGTCCACTTGATGGAGAGGAGGGCAGCCCTGGTCCACTTGATGGAGTGGAGGGCAGCCCTGGTCCACTTGATGGAGAGGAGGGAAGCCTTGGTCCACTTGGTCCACCATCATTACCAATAATAACAGCCTGGTTGATCAGGCCCTGATCCACCACGATGCCTGGTCACAGACCGGGACGCGGGGGCGTTGACCCCCGGAACTCTCTCCAGGTATACAACACGCACCACCCATAACGCACATTACCCACAACAGGCACCAACAGTACCAGCAGGCACCAACAGTACCAGCAGGCACCAACAGTACCCACAACAGGCACCAACAGTACCCACAACAGGCACCAACAGTACCAGCAGGCACCAACAGTACGCACAACAGGCACCAACAGTACCAGCAGGCACCAACAGTACCCACAACAGGCACCAACAGTACCAGCAGGCACCAACAGTACCCACAACAGGCACCAACAGTACCCACAACAGGCAACAACAGTACCCACAACAGGTACCAACAGTACCCACAACAGGTACCAACAGTACCAGCAGGCACCAACAGTACCCACAACAGGCATCAACAGTACCAGCAGGCACCAACAGCACCAGCAGGCACCAACAGTACCCACAACAGGCACCAACAGTACCCACAACAGGCACCAACAGTACCCACAACAGGCACCAACAGTACCGACAACAGGTACCAACAGTACCGACAACAGGCACCAACAGTACCCACAACAGCACAACAGTACCACAACAGCACCAACAGTACCACAACAGGCACCAACAGTACCCACAACAGGCACCAACAGTACCCACAACAGGCACCAACAGTACCCACAACAGGCACCAACAGTACCCACAACAGGCACCAACAGTACCCACAACAGGCACCAACAGTACCCACAACAGGCACCAACAGTACCCCCACCAGGCACCATCATTACCAACAGGCACCAACAGTACCCACAACAGGAACCAACGGTACTTACCGCTGGGCGGCCATAATGGGTTTCTCTTGGATAGGGCACGAAGGGCGGTTGTTGCATGTAGCGGCCGCCCACACCGCCTCCGCCGCCCCCTCCGCCGCCCACGTGGGCGTCGCCAGCCCCGGGGTAGGCCGGGTACCCGCCCGCGCCCGCCCGCGAGGCCATGGGGCGGCGAGATGGGCGTCTTGTAGGGTGAGCCGTCATGTCTGAAACAACGGTAACACTGTTAGAACGTTAACTCTGTTGTAACAACGGGAACACTGTTGTGACAACAGTAACACGTTAACTCTGTTGTGACAACAGTAACACTTACATTAACTCTGTTGTGACAACAGTAACATAATTGTTCTGACAACAGTAACAATAATATTAACTGTTGTGACAACAGTAACATGTTACATTAACTCTATGACAACAGTAACAACGGAAACTCATTACCTGTAACAACAGTAACAAAACTTTTACAACAGCAGCATAACTGTTACAACAGTAAGAACATTAACCATTACAAAAACACTTTATTACCACTGTTGCAACAGTACCAGTAACATTAACAGTAAAAGTAACAGTACCAGTAACAACAGCTATACTAGTACTAATAAGAGTAACAACAGTACCAGTATCAACAGTAACAAAACCAGTAACAGTAACATTACCAGAGAGATAACAGTACCAGTAAAAACAGTACCAGTAACAACAGTAAAAAAACACCAGTAACAAAGGTAGCAGTAAAAACAGTACATTAACAGTAAAAACAGTACCAGTAACAGTAAAAGAGTAGCAGTAACAACAGTAAAACTGTAGCTGTACAACAGTAAAACAGTATCAGTAACAGTAACAACAGTGCCAGTAACAACAGGACCAGTAATAACAACAGTACCAGTAATAATAACAGTACCAGTAACAACAGTAGCAAGAATGCCAGTAACAGCAACAACAGTACCAGTAACAAGAGTACAAGTAACAATATTACCAGTAACAGTACCAGTAACAACAGTACCAGTACAACAGTACCAGTAACAACAGTACCAATAGCTAACAACAGAAACAACAGTACCAGTAACAACAGAACCAGCCAGGATAAAACAGTACGAGTAACAACAGTACCAGTAACAGGATCAGAAGAAACATTATCAGTAAAACAGTACCGTTAACAACAGTACCGGTAACAACAGTACCAGTACCAACAGGACCAGTAACAACAGTACCAGCAACAACATTAACAGTAACAACAGAACCAGTAAAGGTTACAAGTGCAACAGTAACAAGACCAGTAACAACAGTAAAAGTAACAGTAACAACAGCACCAGTAACAACAGTAACAGTAAAAACAGTAACAAGAGTACCAGTAACAACAGTAACAGTAAAAACAGTAACAAGAGTACCAGTAACAACAGTATTAGTAACAACATCATCGGAAACATGAGTACCAGCAACAACAGTAACAGTAATAACAGTACCAGTAACAACAGAAGCAGTAACAACTGGACCAGTAACAACTGGACCAGTAACAACTGGACCAGTAACAACAGGACCAGTAACATTAACAGTAACAACAGAACCAGTAAGAATAAAACAATAAGAATAAAACAACAGTAAGAATAAAACAACAGTACCAAAACAACAGTATCAGCAACAGGACCGGTAACAACAGTACCAGTAACAACAGGACTGGTAACAACAGTACCAGTAACAATAAAACAGTACGAGCAACAACAGTACGAGTAACAATAACAGTATCAACAGGACCAGTAACAATAGAACAATTAACAACAGGAGCAGTAACAACAGTACCAGTAACAACGGTACTGTTATGAACCAAGTGTATCACATACGAGATGTGGGTACTCCTAGCAGAAGGGTACACTAGAAGAAGGGTACACTAGCTAGTATTACAGAGATGTGGGTACTCCTAGCAGAAGGGTACACTAGCTAGTATTACAGAGATGTGGGTACTCCTAGCAGAAGGGTACACTAGCAGAAGGGTATACTAGCAGAAGGATACACTAGCTAGTATTACAGAGGAGATGTGGGTACTCCTAGCAGAAGGGTACACTAGCTAGTATTACAGAGGAGATGTTGGTACTCCTAGCAGAAGGGTAAACTAGCAGAAGGATACACTAGCTAGTATTACAGAGATGTGGGTACTCCTAGCAGAAGGGTACACTAGCAGAAGGGTATACTAGCAGAAGGATACACTAGCTAGTATTACAGAGGAGATGTGGGTACTCCTAGCAGAAGGGTACACTAGCTAGTATTAGAGAGGAGATGTTGGTACTCCTAGCAGAAGGGTACACTAGCAGAAGGATACACTAGCTAGTATTACAGAGATGTGGGTACTCCTAGCAGAAGGGTACACTAGCAGAAGGATACACTAGCTAGTATTACAGAGATGTGGGTACTCCTAGCAGAAGGTACACAAGTAAGGGTATACTAGCAGAAGGGTACACTAGCTAGTATTACAAGAGATGTGGGTACTCCTAGCAGAAGGGTACAACTAGCAGAAGGGTAATACAGAAGTACATAGCTAGTATTACAGAGGAGATGTGGTTACTCCAAGCAGAAGGGTACACTAGCAGAAGGATACACTAGCTAGTATTACAGAGATGTGGGTACTCCTAGCAGAAGGGTACACTAGCAGAAGGGTATACTAGCAGAAGGGTACACTAGCTAGTATTACAGAGGAGATGTGGGTACTCCTAGCAGAAGGGTACACTAGCAGAAGGATACACTAGCTAGTATTACAGAGGAGATGTGGGTACTCCTAGCAGAACGGTACATTAGCAGAAGGGTACACTAGCAGAAGGATACACTAGCAGAAGGGTACACTAGCAGAAAAGTACACTAGCAGAAGAGTACACTAGCTAGATTACAAGAGAAGGGTACTCCAAGAGTACACTAGCAGAAGGTACACATAGCAGAAGTGGTACACTAGGAAGTGGGTACACTAGCAGAAAGGTACACTAGCAGAAGGTACACTAGCTAGTATTACAAGAATGTGGGTACTCTAGCAGAAGGGTACACTAGCAGAAGGTACACTAGCAGAAGGAGTACACTAGCAGAGTACACTAGCAGAAGGTACTATAGCAGAAGAGTACACTAGCAGAAGAGTACACTAGCAGAAGAGTACACTAGCAGAAGGGTACACTAGCAGAAGAGTACACTAGCAGAAGGTACACTAGCAGAAGAGTACACTAGCAGAAGGGTACACTAGCAGAAAAGTACACTAGCAGAAGAGTACACTAGCAGAAGGGTACACTAGCAGAAGAGTACACTAGCAGAAGAGTACACTAGCAGAAGGGTACACTAGCAGAAAAGTACATAGAAGATCTAGAGAGTACACTAGCAGAAGGGTACACTAGCAGAAGGGTACACTAGCAGAAGGGTACACTAGCAGAAGATACGTAGCAGAAGGGTACACTAGCAGAAGGGTACACTAGCAGAAAGGAGTACACTAGCAGAAGGGTAATAGCAGAAGGGTACACTAGCAGAAGGGTACACTAGCAGAAGGGTACACTAACAGAAGAGTACACTAGCAGAAGGGTCACTAAGCAGAAGGGTACACTAGCAGAAAGTACACTAGCAGAAGGTACACTAGCAAAAGGGGTACACTAGCAGAAGGGTACACTAGCAGAAGAGTACACTAGCAGAAGGGTACACTAGCAGAAGGGTACACTAGCAGAAGAGTACACTAGCAGAAGGGTACACTAAGCAGAAGGTACACATAGCAGAAGATACACTAGCAGAAGGGTACACAAGCAGAAGGGTACACTAGGAGAAGGGTACACTAGCAGAAAAGTACACTAGCAGAAGGGTACACTAACAGAAGAGTACACTAGCAGAAGGGTACACTAGGAGAAGGGTACACTAGCAGAAGGGTACACTAGCAGAAGGTACACTAGCAGAAAGAGTACACTAGCAGAAGGGTACACTAGCAGAAGAGTACACTAGCAGAAGGGTACACTAGCAGAAAGGTACACTAGCAGAAGAGTACACTAGCAGAAGGGTACACTAGCAGAAAGGTACACTAGCAGAAGAGTACACTAGCAGAAGGGTACACTAGCAGAAGAGTACACTAGCAGAAGAGTACACTAGCAGAAGGGTACACAAGCAGAAGGGTACACTAGCAGAAGGGTACACTAGCAGAAAAGTACACTAGCAGAAGAGTACACTAGCAGAAGGGTACACTAACAGAAGAGTACACTAGCAGAAGGGTACACTAGCAGAAGGGTACACTAGCAGAAAGGTACACTAGCAGAAGGGTACACTAACAGAAGAGTACACTAGCAGAAAGGTACACTAGCAGAGTACACTAGCAGAACAGTACACTAGGAGAAGGGTACACTAGCAGAAAAGTACACTAGCAGAAGGGTACACTAACAGAAGAGTACACCCGGTAGTAATTGCACGGTCACGAGTGAGTGTAGCCCTGCACCCAGTTAACAATGTACCAGGTGTTGCACACCCTGGTATGGATCCTCTACAAGACAACCCAGATTGCAACACTTTTAGCCTGTTTTGTCACCTGACATTCGTGAATATGTTAAGAAGTGTAGTGTTTATATGGGACACAAAGTTAGTGGTCCTAACCTTATCCTGGTGCAACCCGTTACTAGCTAACCTAACCGAACTTGCAATCTCCCCTCCAGGGCAACATCTGTGTTATGGTAGACCATTTCACCAGATGTTGGCACTAGTACTAGATAACACTACCCAGACACTACCAGATAACACTACCCAGACACTACCAGATAACACTACCCAGACACTACCAGATAACACTACCCAGACACTACCAGATAACACTACCCAGACACTACCAGATAACACTACCAGATAACACTACCCAGACACTACCAGATAACACTACCCAGACACTACCAGATAACACTACCCAGACACTACCAGATAACACTACCCAGACAGTACCAGATAACACTACCCAGACAGTACCAGATAACACTACCCAGACAGTACCAGATAACACTACCCAGACAGTACCAGATAACATACCCAGACACTA